AGCAGTACCCAGAGGCAGCAAAGGCAATCGAGCTGAACCATTACATGGATGACTACCTGCACAGCTTCCATTCAGAAGAGGACTTCAAGAGAATTACAGCGCAGGTGGACTTCATTCACAAAAAGGCGGGCTTCGAACTCCGAGGATGGGCGTCAAACCACTCCGACCTGCTGCAAGACGTGAAGACTGAGTCAGTTGAGAAGACAGAGGTGGACCTTGGTGAGAAGGAAGAGAAGACACTGGGACTACGCTGGTTTACAGAAAGGGACTCCATAGGCTTTAGGGCGAACCTTCGGAACACGCCAGATGAAGTGGCACAAGGACTCAAGGTACCTACGAAGAGAGAAGTCACCAGCGCCGTGATGTCGACCTTCGATCCACTAGGGCTAGCATCACCAATTCTCATCCAAGGCAAAAGGCTGCTCCAGAACATATGGCGAAGTGGCGTCGGTTGGGATGAAGAGATAGAAGAAAAGGAGTACGAGTCATGGAAGACTTACCTGGAGAAGATGAAGCTGCTCCAAGACCTTCAGATCCCGAGATGTCTGGCACCACGTCGCACCGAGGGGGAGCTGCACACGTTCACGGATGCAAGCGAAATGGCGTATGCAGCTACGGTATATTGGAGAACTGAAAATCAAAATGGGACTTATGACGTCAGCTTAGTAGCAGCAAAAGTAAGAGTCACTCCGTTGAAGCCGGTGTCAATCCCGAGACTCGAGCTGCAAGCGGCCCTCCTAGGAAGCAGATTGGCACACTCGGTCGAGGAAGAAATGGATCTGAAAATAGAAAAGAAGACGTTTTGGACAGACTCCAGTATCGTGCTATCATGGATCAAGACGGACCCGAGAACCTTCAAGACATTCGTGGCTCATCGCTTGGCGGAGATAGAAGATCTCACAAAACCACAGGACTGGAGATGGGTACCGACGGCGCAGAACCCTGCAGATGATGCAACACGTGACGTACCAGAACACTTCGACTGCCAACACCGATGGTACACCGGACCAGGGTTTCTAAGAAGAGATGAAGTTCACTGGCCTGCGGCAAGAACATTCAAGAAAGAAACCACTGGCGAAGAAAAGGCAGCGGACATCGTAGCGACTGCAGGCAGCTCCTATCCATCACCAGATCCCGAAAAGTTCTCGTCGTGGAAAAGACTTTGGCGAGCTACAGCAAGAGTACTGCAGTTCATACAACTCTGCAGAAGAAAGGAAAAGGTCCACGCCAGCAAAGAAGATCCTACCTGGAAAACTACAAAAAGGAATAAGAAAATTGTTGAGAAGCGACATCTGTCTTCAAAAACGTCAGAAAGGAAATACATACCATTGGAAACAAGTCTACTAGAGCAAGCTGAAACGCTGTTGTTAAGAAGAAGTCAAGAGAAATGCTTCAAAGAGGACATCAGGTGCCTACAGCAAGGAAAACAATTAGAGGGCAGCAGCAAGTTGAAAAGGCTCGACGTAGTGCTAGAAGAAGGTCTCCTGCGACTGAAAGGAAGAATCGACGCGATACGAGGGGTTACCAGAGACTACAAACGACCCATCGTACTCGACAGCAAGGACAAGACAACACTTCTCATCATAGAAGAATTTCACTGCCGCTTCAATCACGGGAATCACGCGACCGTAATGAACGAAGTAAGACAACGCTTCTGGGTGCTAGGACTGAGGTCAGCGATCAAGACCATTCAACATCAATGCCAGTGGTGCAAAACAAGAAAGGCAAGACCTCAAGAACTACCAGTGGGCAACTTACCTGCTGAGAGGCTGATGCACGGAAACCCTCCATTTACGTGCACGGGAATAGATTACTTCGGCCCTATGACGATCACCGTAGCAAGACGCCATGAGAAGAGATGGGGTGCTCTATTCACATGCTTAACAACACGAGCTGTACACATTGAGCTCACTCCTTCACTCTCCACTGACAGCATGATCATGGCACTACGACGATTCGCCGCGAGAAGGGGAATGCCAAAGATAATCTACACCGACAATGGCACTAACTTCGTTGGCGCCAACAAAGAACTCAAAGAAGCACTAGACACCATGAAGCAAGAAGACCTTATCTCGGAAGCGGAGAAGATCGGTGTGCAGTGGAAGTTCATACCTCCTGGTGCACCAAACATGGGAGGTGCATGGGAGCGTCTGGTGCGATCCATTAAAACCGCACTGGACGCCACGCTCAACGAAAGGCAACCACGAGAGGAGGTACTTCATACCCTCCTGTTAGAGGCCGAGCACATAGTCAACTCTCGGCCCCTCACCCACCTCTCCGAGAACCCTGAAGAAGAAGCACTTACACCGAACCACTTTCTCATCGGGCGATCATGTGGCGCAGCAAGAATCGGCAGCTTCGAGGACAACGAGCTTGTGGGCAGACACACCTGGAAGGCTACGCAGCGACTTGCCGATCACTTCTGGCAACGTTGGCTGAGAGAGTATTTGCCCACTCTACTACCAAGGAAAACCAAAGGAAGAGTCAGCGCCACAGATTTGCAAGTCGGAGACATCGTACTGATCGTCGATCACAGCCTACCAAGATGCATCTGGCCACGCGGAAGAATCCTGCATGTGTATCCTGGACCAGACGGGCGGACCAGAGTCGTCGACGTCGAGACCAGAGGAGGTGTTCTACGGAGGCCCAGTTCGAGAGTGGTGCTGTTGGTGCCGGGAGCGTCGCCGAGTCCAGGAGTTGGTGCAAAGCACGAGGGGGAGAATGTCGGCGACGGAAAACCTATCTTCGAGTAACGTGTGTATTAATATAGGGACAATGTCATTTTAGCGTATTATGAATAATTGTTGTAAATATGAAATCTCATTCTTATTAGATTTATTATGTTAAAATAAGTTCTAATTAGTGTAATAAGGTTAGTTTAGAGTATTTTTTGCTTATTTGAATCATATAAGACTATTTAACATTAATTTGAAAGGAATAGGTACGTAAGTAAAATGTTAGCATATAATTACGTAACTTGAAAATGAGATTTTTTGTTTCTTGCAATAGCATAATAGTTTATGTTTTAAATAATAGATTTTATTATAAAACTTATAATAAAACAAGAATTAGGTCGATAGGACTATCCGTTCAAAAGTTATAAGGGAAAATGTATAGTAAAAATGTAGCAACCTAGAAATTTAGATATTTTTGTTTTAAGACTTTTTTAATTAATTATTATATATTGAATATTATGTTTTAATATTGTATAATAGTATGTAAGGCATGTAAATAAATAAATATGTGTAAGGTGTTTTACTGAAAACATAAAATAAAAGGACTCTCAAGGTTTCGGTTTAGGGAAATTTTATTCGAAAAACGAGCACAAAGTACGTGGCTCTCTGTAAGGTATTAACGGGCCAAATAAAAGGCGAGCCATTTCTCGATTCGAGTCAGTCGCAAGACAGCCACCGAAGAGGCAACAACTAAAAGGAAAAGGAAGAACCGAAACCAAGAGAGAAAAAAGGAAAAAATTGTGTTTTTATTTCATCGCCTCTAAGTATAGTCTCCTGTCAACGAAGAAACCCTAGTGGATCGGGACCCAAGCTACGCATTCAGGGGTGCGTGGTGGCGTACATTACCAGCGAACGGACATACTGCCGTGTACGCCAAGAACGTCTGGGAGATTGTCCCAGGTCGACCTCCGGGTACTAGACATACCCTGGTTCTGGTCGTCCGAAACACTAATAATAATCAAAGTCAAATCATTGATGTTAGTTACACCAGTGTAACCAAACAGTGTAACCACGGGTCCGAAGTCCAAAATTTGATACCTCGAAAAATATTGCGCTAAAAATCCTTTTGGAGGGAAGTCTTATAATGTCAAAATGAGCTCTGTGCCAAATTTCACGAAATTCAGTTTTCGTCTTTCGGAAGTTTATCCAAATTCTAACCCTCAATTTGTTTACCTTGTGTAATCTCATTGATATTATTTATATAATATATAAATATTTTTTTTTAACAAGTTGATGATCTCTCCCCAAAAGGTCTTCAAAGAGGGAAATATTTTTAGCCTTAGTTTTTGAACCCGAATAGTGTAAGAATTATTTGGATAAATAAAATCATTTTAATTCAAAATGGTGTGCTAATTTTATAATAAAAAAGGAACAAAATTTTTTTCACCAAAATACGATACTTTTGTATTTTCAAATTCATATTAAAGTATATTATTTTTGATTTAGTAGTTTTTGTATAGCAACTAATTTCAACATTAAATAAAAAGTATATTTACCATTTATATAAAATATTTTATCTTTAAAATTCCCTTTATATGAATCTAATAAGCCTTAATTCAAAAAGCTAGCCAGCTTTAACAAAAATTATGCATACTTTTCAATTTATGAGCCAACACACTACGTACATATATTATGTATTTCGTTTTGCAATATCTGTGGTACTTTTTGCAGCTTGCCAAGCGATACCATCAAGTTCCAGGCAAGGAAGCTATAATAGATATTATGTTTACACAGTGTGAGTATTTTAACAAATTACTGCAAACGATCTAATTCACAACTTACGTCACTAGTTACGTTCTAAATAGATAAAAACAGTTATTGCGAAAGAACCGCAGGAGCTAGATATATGGTTTTGCCGATTTTTCTGTAGGTCCTTTTAAAACATACTATTTTCTACTTAATTATTTCGATGTATCTTTTAAGGTGTAGCTATGTAAATTTATAAGGATTTGACGGAACCAGTTATTATATTTTCCCTTCGGAATGAAAGATTTTCCTATTGTAAAAAGTATCCTAAATGTTGACCCGAGTAATAAGTTATTACTATACAAAATTAAGTTAAAACCCGTACAAAATTCGTAAAAAATAAACAAACTAACAGACAAAATGACAAAAAATAAATTTTCTATTGTTTTGTGGTCTATATTATGTATAATTAATTATATGTGTAGATCGTGGCCAATATAAAAATGATACTGTCCATTTATAGGTTTATTTATTCCATTTAAGCTCGTAAAGATTTATAAATAAAACCTATTGCAACTAATGGTTATATGTTTAAGGAATAACACAAGAATACCAATTGAATTAGATTTGACAAACACAACAGCACTCGAGGAGACTCTCCTTGCTACCAGAAACACAACAGTAATTATTCACGGACATCAGGGTTCTGCTGTAAGTTCATTGAATCCCACAGTGAAAGATGGTAAGTTATAACGATCTTATCAAAAACAATTGAATTCACAAATTATTAATTGTATCCGGTCATTATTTTCATACAAACTTGCTTCCCCATACAAACTTTCATCCCCATTCTCACCTCCTTAAGGGATGATTTCCGGAATAAAAACTATTTCACTCATACACTTTTCATATAATGAGATTTAAAATAATCTTATTTTCGTAAAAAAAATTACTTTTAATTTTCTTCTATACAAAAATTCCTGAAAATAACAAGAAGAAAAAAAGAATTGTCCGATTTCGTGCAGTCCTTAGGGAGCTCAATACCCTTTCTTTGAATCTATGTATCATTATAAAAAAATATAATTATCAAAATTTCAACTCTTACGATGCAGTACTTGAATGAAAGAAAGCTAGTGCTCCTACGAGATAAAACTTTAAACTCAGTATAAGAAAAGTTTTACTGATCAAAACTATACCTTTATTTGATTTTAGCTTTGCTGGCCGTTGAAGATGTAAATGTGATCGTGGTAGACTGGTCGGTTTACGCATCGCTAAGCTATAGTAACGCAGTTGGTGCTGTAGCAAGCGTTGGAAGCTACTTAGCAGATACGATCTCAGAATTAGTGGAAGCTGGCGTAGTATCGCTTGATAAATTGCACTTAGTCGGTTTTGACCTCGGCGCCCATGTTGCCGGATTTACTGGAAGAAATCTTGAAGGAAAAGTTGCAAGAATTACTGGTAAAAAATCACATTACAAATTATCATGTTTTGGTATACGTTTTTACGATACGAAACTCTACTGTTAATTTAAAAAAAACATCCCACTCAGCTGTTTTTATAACTACTTATAGAATATACTGATTCTAGTTAAATGTTATTATAAATTATAGGTCTCAATCCATCTGGAAGGCAATGGGGAAGCAATACTCTTCGTTTAAGATTAAGTGATGCTCTTTACGTGGAAATTTTACATACTGATGGCAATGGTATCTTGGGTAATGGTGTTGGAGATCCTATTGGCACTGTTGATATTTACGTCAATGGTGGAAACAATCAGCCTGGATGCTTCCTGAATCACCACTGCAGCCATAACCGTGCATGGGAAGTTTTTGCGGCTACAGTGGAAACAAATCATTTAATAGCTAACCAATGTGGAAATAACCTCCAAATTGCATTGAACACTTGTCGTGGCAGAACTATTCCCGTCGGAAATAATGAATTATCAAAACTCGGGTAAAGTATATTTTATTAATAAATATAATATTATTACGAACAGTTGAGTAAAAATTTTATGTGACAAACTTTTTTGCGATAAGCTAGCTACTACGCTACGAGTAGAAAGTTATGACTCTCATGTGACTCGGAACCGCGTAATATTGTTTATGAATTCTTGACCTGCTAAATTTCTTAATCTATTAATTGAATTTAATTTCAAAATATCGATTGGACTGTTAAGTCACTTTACAACTACTATTAATCTTCAAATTTCATTGGTATATTCAGCCTCTTACATATTATGGAAAAAACCCGTAAGCCGCTAAATAACTAATTCAAAACGCGATCCCCGTATAAAGTAATATTTCTTAGAATTCCTTGTACTTATTTAAATATTAATATTGCTTTATGTTTGCAGATCTGGATTATACCGTGTCAACACTCGAAGAACGTATCCCTACTAAAGTATGATTAAAGCCTATTTATGTCATTCTGTTTAATGAATGTTAATAAAATTAAAAATAATAATAAAACTCCTGATTACTTGTTTTATAAAACTCCTAAAATGTAAGATTATAATGCAATTTGCAAGTCTATATGAATCGCATTTAATATATAAAAACGGTATGTTATAAACAACGTAACTGGTTGTCAAGGTAGCGTACGTGCGTTGGTAGTAATTACACTAGACTATGACCGCTCAAATATTCCTGGAACAATAGGTATGTTATGTAGGTATGTGCTATAAATAAACTACCTAAGTATACTATGTCACTACAGCACACCCGAGTGAAGCAAGGCTACTTCACTAGTCTGTATATATAAAATATTTTGTCCTGACTGACTGATGGATCAACGCACAGCCTAAACCGCTGGTAGTAAAAACGTGAAATTTGTAGGAAATATTCCTTATATGTTTTAGAACATCTGATAAGAAAGGATTTTTTAAAATTCACCCCCTAAAGGATTAAGAAACTACCACCCCTGTAGTTATATTTATATGGGAAAAAATTGTTTACGCCCGGAATTACTTGAAACTTGGTATTAATGCACTTCAATAGAATTAAATAAATACGTATTTCAGAATTTTTCGAAATTTAGCCACTAAGGGGGTAAAAATGGGTGGCTTTGGCCCAATATAATGTAAATAAGCTATTTAACAGCGGTAATACATAAATAATTATAGTGACCACTTTTTCATACATTGAATACCAATGATAACCTCTGACTACATCTTTGAATTTAATCTTTTGTAACTCATCCTTAAAGTTTGCTTTGCAATAACCATTAATAAAAATCAGAGCCTGTAGTAGGGTTACTAAGCAACAAGGCTGTCAAATAAAAACATATGTATTGCAATGGATTATTATTTAAATACATAATATACTATAATACTATATTTGGCGACGAGGATAAAGGAGAATTATGTCCCTCGAAAAATTTACATTTGAAGAATTAAATAACCCTGATGATTGGGAGTATTATATACAACGATTTAAAATCGAACTTGAACTTCATGGACTTAACACAAGAGAAAATGAAGAAAAACGAAAACGATTGTTATTATCTCGGATTGGTCAAAAAGCATTTAAGGTACTTGTAGATCATTTCCGACCAGCATCAGTAACAGAAAAACATTTCGACGAACTCGTAACTGTTTTGAACGAATACTATGGAAGAAAAACATATGTACTTGCAGAACGTGTAGCATTTGCATCTAAAAGAAGGGATAGTTGCACCTCAGTATCACAATTTGTAATGGACCTTCGATCTTCAGCTGGGTATTGTGAATTTGGAAATATGATGGATGAACGCCTGAGAGATCAATTGGTAATTGGTATAAATAACCTGCAATGGCAACAAGAACTCATTAAACAGCATCCTAAAAACAGTGCTAAACTGGCGGATGTAGTAGCTACAGCTAGAAACTTAGAACAGGCAGAAACTCAAGCAAATTTTATAACGCAAACACATACAATGCAACATTCAGATTTTAACGATAACGTTACTATTAACAAAGTAATCAAAAACAATAAAACAACTAAAAGCGAAACGAATCATCATCAAATGAAGCGATGTACTTATTGTGGTAAGTCATATCATAAAAATATTGCAGAGTGCCCTGCACGTGGAAAGCAATGTACTGCTTGCGGTAAGCAAAACCATTTTTCAAGCGTTTGTATCTCAACGAAATATTCTAAAAGTAAATATAATAAAACAAGACAAGTACAAACCTTTCATAATGATATAAATTCTAATAGTTCAGATTCGGATGTAGATGAGTCTCCGCAAACTTTTAACATCAATCATAAAAACAAGCCATCAAAAATTTTAATACCAACAATTATGAACAATATTAAGATCGATATGTTGTATGACCCAGGTGCAGTACATTCAGTTATTGGCAAAGAGTTATGGAAAACTCTAGGAAGACCAAAATTGAAGAAATGTAGTAACTTAATAGCTTATACAGATGTTAAGATTAAAACATTGGGAATCTGTCAAATTATGGTAGAAGCATTTAATAAAACTAAACTATTAGAAGCATACGTAACTAAACATAATGATATACCATTATTTGGCCTAGATTGGTGTATACAATATGAACTTCCAATGCCTCCAGGATCAAGGCTATGTAACATTAAAGAAATACACCAAATAAATGATCAAAATAACATAATAGAAAAAAACCGAACTATTAAAAACTCTTTGGACCGCGATCAAATAGTCCAACAGCTACTCAACGAGTTTCCTGAAATATTTGATGGAAAATTAGGTACCATAAGAGGACATTATGCAAAAATTCATATTTCAGAAAACGTGCCATCAAAAACATTTAGACCAAGACCAGTACCACTGGCCCTTAAAGATCAGGTTACAGCTGAACTACAAAGACTAGTAAATGAAAACGTTATAGAATCAGTAGATACAATGACAACCCCAATTGAATGGGCATCGCCAATAGTTATAGCAGTAAAACATAATGGCAACATACGTATTTGTGCGGATTTCAAAGTAACAATCAATAGACATGTTCAAGTGGATGACTATCCATTACCTAGATTTGAAGAAATAACATCTAAATTAGCAGGAGGTGTATTGTTTACAAAAATAGACTTAAAAGACGCTTATTTACAACTGATGGTTGATCCAGGGTCCAGAAAATATTTATTAATCTCAACACACAGTGGATACTATCAGTATAAACGTTTACCATTCGGTATATCTTTTGCTCCAGCTTTATTTCAGCGAACAATGGATCAAATACTAAGTGGTATTGATGGAGTAGTCTGCTATCTTGACGATATTCTTATAACTGCAAACAATTTAACGGATCACATTAATAAGGTACGAACAGTCTTAAAAAAATTAAAGTCAGCGGGTATTAAAAGTCAAATTTCAAAATGCTCATGGCTACAAGAAAGTGTAACATTTTTAGGACATAAGATAGATAAACATGGACTGCATCCAACAGAAGAACATGTTAAAGCCATAAAAGAAATGCCTATCCCATCAAACATTTCAGAACTTAGAGCATTTCTAGGGTCTATTAGTTACTACGGCCGGTTTATTGAAATGTTACAAGTAAAATGTATACCATTGTATAGATTTTTAAAAAAGGGAAATAAATGGGATTGGACAACAGCAGATTCTAATATTATTAATAGTTTAAAGGATATACTAACATCAAACAATACCTTAGCCCATTATAACAGCAACCTTCCCATATATGTGAGCAGTGACGCATCAGACAAAGGTATTGGAGCAGTTATGTTCCATAAATATGAGAACGGAGATATGAGACCTATCGCTTTTGGATCAAGAACGTTATCAATTGTAGAACAACGGTATTCAACAATTGATAAGGAAGCACTAGGCTTAATTTATGCAGTTACTAAGTTTCATCAATATTTATATGGTCGAAGATTTACATTGCTAACAGATCACAAACCACTTGAACGTATATTTAGTCCAAACCGAGAGACACCTAAAATAGCCAGCAATCGACTTTTGAGATGGGCAATGATACTAAATTGTTATGACTACGACATAGAATATTTACCTGCAAAGGACAACTCTCCAGCAGATGCCTTATCTCGTTTACCATTACCAGAAGAAGATTCCTCAATAATAGAAAAAATTGGCTTACCAAAATATTCACATTTACTTCATTTAAGACTTAAAACTATACCTATTACCAAACATCGCTTACGAGAAGAAACATCTAAAGACTCTTTACTAAGAAATGTTATAAAATATATAACTTCATACTGGCCAGACAAAAAGAAATTGACACTAACTTATATGCTTTCTATGAAAAGAGACAAGAAATGTCATATGAAGACGGATTTGTTTTATGGAACGGTAGAATTTGTATTCCAATTAATTTACGAATTGAAATATTAAAAATGTTACACGATGGACACGCAGGAATTACTGCGATGCAATCTCTAGCCCGATTGCATGTATATTGGCCGAATGTAGATAAAGACATTATCGACTTTGGACAAAATTGTGAACGATGTCAAAGATCAAGAAACACTAATAACAAAGTTCCGGTATATTCTTGGGGTATTCCCCCCGAACCCTGGTCAAGGATTCACATAGATTTCGCAGGTCCATTTCTTGGTTTTACATGGCTAATAATCATTGATGCTTACACTAAATGGTTAGAAGTATTACCAATGAAAAGCACTACATGTACTTGTACTATAAAAAGGCTACGCAGTTTATTTGCCTTATACGGATACCCGAAATATATTGTAACAGACAATGGACCTCAATTTGTAGCTGATGAATTTAGATATTTTTGTAAATCTATCGGAATAACACACATTAAAACCACACCATACCATCCCAGAACTAATGGGCTGGCAGAAAGAGCGGTGCGAACTTTTAAAGAGAGGATGGTAGCCTCACATACAGATTTAAATGAAAGATTATGTAGTTTTTTGTTCAGTTACAGAAATTCACCTCAGCATTCCACTGAACGATCTCCTTTTGAAATGATGTTTGGACGTAGAATGCGTTCAACATTCGATCTACTAAAACCAGACGTTCGAGGAAACATGGAAAAAGCACAATTACGTCAACAATTACAAAATAACACTAAACAGCCTATGGCATTTCAACCTGGAGATTCTGTTTGGATAAACAAAACATTACAAAAGGGTTCTGAACCTGGAATAGTGACTTCTAGAACAGGCCCTTACTCTTATTTAGTAAATACTAATGGTACGTTTAAACGAAAACATAGAGACCAAATGCGAAGCAGAGTGGCTGATGGTAATAAAATTTCATATTATTTATCAAATGAAAGCCAAATTGAACCTACAGCCCAAGGAGATTCGTCCTCTCGTAACAACACATTTGATGTGAACCCTGTACCATCAACTTCGTTTGAATCTGGACAGTCACTAGTTTGCCCCTCATTACCACCAAGAAAATCGGAGAGAAAGCG